GCACCAAAGTATCTTACGGATAAGAATCTTCGAAACACAAATGAACGGCACGAACAAGAGACTCGAACTGATTTGTATTGACTCATGTTGACTTTGTGTTGGCTGCGATGYCATGGCAAATACACAAATATTTAGGTGGTTAAGGTGGTGGCGCAAATAGGCGCTCTTTCCGCTCAAAATTCTCTTGAAACGCCAGCCAGTTTGCCACACTGATGAAAATTTCGGATATTTAGTAACACAAGTAATTATTTACCAGAAAAAAGTAGTTAAAACTTGAAACGCCTCAACGGAAAATTACAAACTAAGCTAAAACATAATTGACGAAAAAAAATCATATACAAATTATAGACAGACAGATATATGAAATGGTTTTGGAGTTGCAGCCTTCCAAAATGTAGCCGCTCAGTGCAATCAGTCGCTCAGTCTAATATCTTCTTTATCTTTAAGATGTTGCAAAGGTTTCACGGTTTCAAAAAAATTTTTTTGATTGTCTCATTCAATGCTATAACGTCTGTAGAATATTTTCCTAAATTCTGAAGCTAATTCGCGTAATAGTTTTAAGATACAGCCTTGAAAATTAGATTATATTAGATCCTATAAGAAGTTCTGCTGTAAGCAGATTTTGAATCTCTTACTTTGAAATTTTAAAAAAATCTTTCTAAAATATGTATCTTAGAAATACTGAAAAGTTGGAAGAGAATAATTAAGTTTTTATTAGACAAATTTAAATAGGCCGGTATTTGCTGCAGAAAACCCGTGTGACCCCTTAAATGCGTTTTTCTCGAAATATAATTGGTTTGAGTTATTGCAGTGTTTAATAGGCGGCAAATGATCCGATCGCTATCAATGTGGCGCCGTCTAGAAGTGCGTGGCACTTGAAAAATATTTAATTTTTTCTTGAAAAATTCAAAATTAGCTTTTTTCGTCTGACACTTAAGCAACAACTTCTTAAAACAAAGAGTAAGACAATAACATTATGAACTTTTAGATAGGAATTCTATTTCGCCATACATTTTACGTAATTAACAGTATATTAAATGCAACGCTGTTGCTCAAAATTGCACAACACTGTGTGAATTTCTGAAAACACCCAACTAGACTCTCTTTGGGTGTGATTTTACTTCGATTTGTGTAGCACAACTCAGATCCACTGAGCGGCAATCGACGGCGTTATTAATTATACAAAAATATTCGATAGTACACTCATACACTCATAGATAGTTAACAATGGGTTGCCTCCAAAAACATGATATTAGTTCCAATTTAGTCGGCTTAGTCTAATTGGAATTTCAACTTTTCTCTGCGTCCATTAAAAATTCACTCAAGCTGACTCTCACTACACACATACTTGGCTAACTCATATCGTTTCTACTTTGTTTGTGGCGGGTTGCCAGATCGTACGAATGTTTTGTTTCCTTAACCGAAATTAGAAAAGGGGTTTGCAGCCACAACTCATTTTTTGTGCTCGCGATTCGCCGACTGTTTTAAATGCCTAAACTTTTTGATAAARCTTATTGTGATACTTAACTGGAAACGTTAAACCGTTATTAAACTGAGCATTTCACAATTTTATTTTTAACATTATCGGGTTATAAGTCTGCGAAAACCGGAAGCGTTATGTCTACTACGGCTACCGGAAGTGGTCTTATTATCGAATAATTTTCCGATGTTCCAGTAACAAACYCAGTGTAGTTAAATTGGGTATGTTTCCGGAACAATTTCTTTATCTATACTTATTTTCACAGAACAACTAGAAATATGAGAGAAAGAAAAATTCAGTCTAGACGTTCAAAGTTCAGGAAATGGCCGGATAAAGCCAGTGTCCGAGACATGGCGGTACTCAGCTTCAGGTTTCAACAAAAAATTGAATTTATATAAGTCTCAGCAACGGAAATGTTCGTTCAGATAAACGATAAGATATCGTACACACTAATAGAAAACCCGAAAACGAAATTCTCGAGGCAGATGGAGTTTTTTGCCAATCACCACCACCCATGGTTTGATTTCAAATACGCCATTCACTGAGATGGWGTCGGTCAAGGTRTTGATTGCTCCATTGTGAATGACRGACAGAGCTTGTCTAAAGTTTGTTGCGTCCGAAGTCTATTCTAAGCCATCGATGTAAACAAGGAAAGACCTTTAATGTCCTTTGCTGACAACTGTTGAAACCATCTCAGCAGAAACTAYTTGGGCTATTCCCCCCAACAGYCGGTTCTACGCACTGGAATTRAACCGGACTTTATCCGRCCAAGGRTTGTTATTTCGGAGATCYAACCCCATTATGATCGACGCGATTTAACAGGAGATCTCAAGAGGCATCTGTAAGGGTGCGGAGTGTAGTATTTTAACGCGTCTTCATCTGCATTTCACTACGTCCAGACAACGATATCTGTACTGTGTAATTTATGACCTTCTGGCCGATTGCTTTGAATATTGTCAACATCAATTCTTTGTCCTTTACCCATCTGCTGCTGGCTAGCGACTTTAGAATTTGTTGCGGCCCTGTACATTGGCAGTACTTGCGGTCGTTTGGGAAGTGAAGGCGCAGAGGCTATCGAATTCAACATTTAAAAACTTAGGGTTGTTGACAGTCGGAATTTTAACGTCATCTACTGAGATATTAACCTCCAGTCTGCACTGCTTCGTCCAATTAGTAAGTATGGTAGCTGCAGATTTAGTGGAGAGAGCGTCAAGCTCCTTGCAGAGTAGAAGTGATAAAGATCACAGAGATAACTGTACATATACATTCGAACACATTCCATTGATTCCATTGCCTGATCTCAATATTGTACAGTCATCTGCGTATGAGGCGATGGAAATTTCCTTTGGTGGTTRAGGARGTTTCAAATTRTAGAAGTTAAACAGTAACGGGGCGGGAACCATGCTGTTTAAATCTGCTTARCTTAGAGTTTTGCCCACGAAACAGTTCGGATGATTGTCGAACGCTTAGATACTTCATGTTACACCTCATCGGCCCTGAAGGAGCATGGATTGTTCGATATCCTCTATACGAAGTACGAGGACCGTCCTCTCACAGGCATTTAGRCTACGAACTATCTAGGCGTTTATAACACATGGTGCTGTCTTAATGGTGTACACTTTACAGAAGCTATGTTCATGGTATGCTAGACTCAGTTAGTGAGTGACGTCAGGTGGAACAAGACCTCGAGTGTCTTCACAAATGGGGAAAGTAGAATTGTCGGATGATAAGACATCATTCGAGGGACCACTCTTCTGACATTCCACACATCCAGTATTTGAAGAGTGGTCAGCGTGTTGTTGAAGACCTTGGTAAGGTAACTTAATCCAAATTATACTTATTGATTCCGTCTGGGTCAATGATTTGGATGATTTAGCTTCGTTGATGACATTCGGAATCTTCACATTGGCAAAAAGGTCTGTGGCGCGTAGTMTTTTGGCATTTTRCACAGACCCCGCGTAACACATCTTTTTGGTCTTGTCGGTTGAAAAGTGCAATGTGAACTGCCGACTAAAATAGTGGGCCCATGTAGAAGAGGCCATTGATTTGAATTTCTATTGTTTCTGTTGTTGTTTGTTGTTGTTTTAACGRTTATCAGTCCCCGTTGGGATGGTGATAGCCATCTGTGTTGTCGTCGGGGTCGGACCAGAAGGAAAAGGGTGTTAGATGGGTGGGGTTGGTTGGGCATGCAAAGAGGTGGTCAGTGWCATGCGGAGCTATTTTTTTGTTTTTTGTAAAATTTTGTTTCTCGGGCCTACCGTTCGACGTCGACGACAACTTGGGTAATCTTTACCATTCTAACGGGGATTAGGTACCCGTTACAACAACAACACCACTTGAATTTAGACTTGATCGTCATGTCTCTCCGGTTGGGACAAGTCCTTGACAGTAGAGCAGCGCCTACTTACACCGCTGGAGTGGTTACAGGACTTCAGGCGTTCTAACCACTTTTTCCGTCTATGTTGATCTGTCGTTTGCCGAATCTCCAAGTTAAGCCCCTTATGGGGCTTGCACATTGATCAACGTGAAGTAAGRCGTCGCACACGTTTGCTAGAACAGCTACTTTGGCTGGGAACTTGAAATCCAAAACTTCAGGGTATTCAGTGTCACGTTACAAAATAACCGCAGAAACAGTAAACAAAAAAAATTTATAAATATTAAAAAGGAAAATACATGATATTCTTCTCATGCAATTTTTTTGTTGTTTTTTATTTTTTATTTTACAACTAATTTAATATTTTTTCACAATTTTCGTTTTTTAATTATTTTTTTATCGCTTTTATATTTTTTATAGAAATACATAGTCATTTTATAAACAAAATAAAATGAGAAAAACATTTCCGTATTTATTTATGTCGAAAAAAAGTTTTCCGTTACAATTGCAGTCACGTTATAACATGCATAATTAAAATGCAAAATATAGATAAACCAAGTGCGAGTACTCGTATGTCTCATCGATTTAGATATTGAACATAAAAAACGATAATAAATGGATAAAATTGCTTAATGTAATGTAAAAAAAAAAAATTAAGTCATATTTACGAAGGATGTCACGATTAAAAACGATCATAAAATATTAGTTGAATAATCGAAACGGAAGCATGGAAGAAAATACAAACAAAGACTGGACAAAATCAGATCTAACAAAGGAAAGGATATTGATTGAGATTTGTTGATTTGTTTTTTTTTTTTTTTAATCGGATTTCCCGTTTAAAAAGACTAAAAAAACGCTGAAATTACAGTTAGTAGTGCGCCAACTAAGCGTCAGACGACTGGAAATTTCGAGTTATAGTAAGTGCAGTTTCGTTTTCATTGTCCTTTTTCAAGACAATTTAATATAATATAATAAATTAAAATAAAACAAAAAAACTTTTTACAATTTAGTCGTTTATAAAGAGAAAATTTCAATTTCAAAATTTGAAAAATCTACAAACATATTTCTAGCTATAAAAAAAATATATTTTGAATTTGATGTGTGGAGTGTAGTGATTTCGACAATTTACTGTTACCTAATGGACTTGTAGGGAATATACTTCCTAGAAGTGTTAAGTGTTTGAGGTTATGTCTAAAACAATAACAACTAAAATATTATGAGAATCAATGCATGCATACAAACATAGCCAAAAAAAAAAAAAAACACTAAACATATGCATTTAATATCACATCAAAGATCGCATTTGAATAACTTTGCAAAAAAGCATAGGTGATTCTCCACTATATACGCTATTATCTGTAGGCTTCAAATCAACTCGTTCATACCATTTTTGTTTTCTTTAATTCTAAATTACTATTACATTTTGTTATAGTTTTATTAACGTTTTTGTTTTTGCTTTTGTTTCATTAACATCACATGCGACAACTGTAATTTCAGCCTAAAAGTAAAGCACACCCCGAAAATATATATATTCGATCAAGCCCAGAAACTCACAGCATTAACTTTAGGGATAATATGCCTGGAAATTTGCTAGACACTTAATAATACATTGGCAGGGCGCTATGCTCATATATGTATGTATGTATATGTATTACTGTGTACAAATCTTTTTGTTTTTACTCGGTAAGAATGTGAAGAAACTTGTATATGGCGGAATTGTTTTGTTGCGGTTTTGGAAAATATTCAAGTTGTTTCCGCCAACTACACATTACTAAACTACTGCACTGTATTGCTGTTACCTATGTACTAGCGTTATTTTGCTTGCAAAACTCTTTGTAAGCCTTTTCGGTCTCTTCATCCATTTCGGGATCAAGATCGATATCGAGATCGCCACCCTCGCCGTCTTCATCAGTGGAACCACTACCCGGCACAGCCGCTGCTCCATCAGACAAGAAGTCGGTCTCTTCCGCCGTCAATTCACGTCCATCTGGCCCATAGAATATCGGTTCGTCGCTCATGCGCAATGGTTCTGGTGCTTTTGACGCTGCTGCTGCTGCAGCTTCCACCTCGGCGGTTGGTGAATTCAGTTTGCGTCCCCAATTATTCTTTTGCAATGCTATTACATTAGCTGCTAGCGGATATTTACCCTGTGATCGCTGATTGACAGCTTGTAAAATCTCGATGATTTCACGCATTTCATTTGGACAGTCTGCAGTCAAATCATAGCCGGCCAATTTCAGTGTTAAACAAATGCAACGTATATTGTCGGAAGACTCTTTCGACAGTAACTGTTTAAGTGAGTACACTATATTTTCGGCAATTAGGTGTATGCGTGTGTCGTCACCGCGCAACTGCATATATAATTCAGCGAGGAAGAGAGCCGTTTCACGTACTTTTTGTTGCTGATTTGTCTTCATATATTGCATAACCTCTTGCTGGTGATAGTCCAGCTTGCATTTGAGCAAGGTGTGAAAAAGTGAGTCTTTCTTTAAGTTGAGCATGTGCAAGAGATTGTAGAGCTTAGCGCCCATGTAACGRAAGTTGGGATTCTGTATGGATTCATTGAAGATATCTTCCATTGCATTCGACAGTACATATTGGTTATTCTCCATACCCTCAAAGATGGTAAGAAACCTTGTTGCAGTTGTGTCAAATTGTCCGGGATTTTGATTTAGACATTGAATCACGGTTCTCAAGTAGTCAAGTGCAATTGTTTCCACATCTGAACTGGTGGTACCATTGCCAGCATGTGAATTTGTAGCACCTGAATGATTGTGACGTTGGTAGCGTCCTTGTCCACCGTGATGTTGATTATGATGTTTATTATGCCTAGGATGTTGGTGTGACTGATTTTGGCTATAATAATTATTGGCAGTATTCTTGTTCCCASTACTACCAGAGGCGTTACCGATCTTTAAGCGTTCCTGTACGGACGCCGTCAATGAGGTGATTTGGTGACCGTATTGCTGTTGATTATGATTGTGATGATTATTTTGTTGATAACCATTGGAGTAACGTTGTGGACGCGTCGATTGTTGATGGTATTGTTGATAGGTTTGCTGATTGTACTGTTGCTGATGTCGTTCTAAACGCTCTTGAGCGCCAGCTGCAGAATTACTACCGCTACCACCGAAACGTGGCACAAATTCTTTAGCATATGGTGATAGCTTGGATGGCGATACCGTACGTGTATACGCGTTCGCGTTATTTGCATTTAATGACGAAGCGCCATGTGTAGGCGTATTTGTTGCGGACTTAGGCTTCCGTAAGGGTGTATAATCCTCATCTTCAGTAAATGGGGCACGACCCGGTGTTATATCCATAATGTGTTGTTGCGTTGAAGCTTTTGCTATTAGTTGTTTCGGTTTTATGTTTTGCGTTTCGTTTTGGCGGAAGTATATAACTTAGGGTTTGGGATTCGATTCGTTGTAAAAGTTCTAAAAGAGCATATAAAAGGAGTATATGTTAATCAATTTTCTTTAATTAACTCTATAAAATATACATTTTCAAAACAATGTACTGCAAAACGAATACGATATTTTTGTTTGATATTCATAATTAGCACATCAACCGTCAACACTACTCTACCTTAGGTATATATCATGCCAATGCAAGTTTAAAACATTCAAGAGAATATAGTGGAACACTTATTTCCACAGTTGTGCAAGAACTCAATGTAATAAATACAACACAACAGTTTTAATATAAAAATGCCGACAAAATCCTTATTCGCGAAATATTAGTTAATGCCTTATTTACACCGATTTTAATGGTCGCAACTGAGTGAGAAATAAATGCATGTAATTTTAGTAGATTTAACATATTATTAGTATTTAACACGACTCATGATTCGGAGTTTATAACTTAAAAAACAAAATGGTATAGTAACAAACCTACCCCAACACGCCGACGGGAATAGTTCAACAAATTTAAAAGTAGGATGTTGCCAACGGCAAAGCATAATCTACTTGCGTATTGGCACATACGTATACAAAAAATTGCTTTTAATTATAAAAATTTCCACCAAAAGAAACGAAAAAAGTGTTTATACATTGTACACATTTTTTTTTTTTTTTTTTTTTTTTTTTTTTTTTTTTTTTTTTTTTTTTTTTTTTTTTTTTTTTTTTTTTTTTTTTTTTTTTTTTTTATAAAATGCCATCTTATCGATAAGCATCATCATAAATGTATAGATTTTATAGCAGAGGTACAAAAGCTGTTCAACTGCTTTCAAATTCCATCAATAGAACGGAAAAGCGAAAATCGAAAAAGATTTTTTCAAATTCGCACCTTTAAAATTAAAGTCTAGCTTATCATGAAATATCCAGTATTGACTCCTCTTCTCTTGGGCACATTAAKCAATATAAAATAAGAAACACGTTTTGCAATCACAAGCTAAATTTTTTTTACTATGGATCGTCTTTCTGTACTTCCATAAAATTTCTGGTGTAGATGTATATGTGTCTAAGTATTCCACAAAATCTATTTTATTTAAATTTCTTCACAAATATAATATTTTGCCGCTAAACCAAAATTATTTGCCGTACCTGAAAACTCCTATTCATACAACTTTCGAAAATGTTATTTAACTTCCTTCAATTCTGTATTTTATTGTAGTATTGTACTCATGGCTGTTCGTTAACTTTTCTCTCTGCTTTAAATGATGGTCAATAGACACGCTGGCGGTCAGACGGGTGAACTCGTTTTCTGTTTTCGACTTCGTTTTTCTTAACTTTTTAATCTATCATATTGCTTTACGTTTTTCACCTTTCTTTATGCCTTGTGGACAGCTTTCGTTGTCAAATTTAACACATCACACATGACAAACTTGGAAATATCAAAAATTTTCATTAATCCCAACACAAAATCAATTCCATTTATAAAACTAAATATATAGAAAATTTAAAACTAAATGTAAAATACTACCAAACCCTCCATAAGCTTTTATTTTTGAGTTTAATAAACTTTCAATTTCCTTTTCACTGTTTTGTCTCAATCCACGTTTGTCGTTTCATAGCGTGTAAAAATTAAATAGAAATCTAAAATGAATTTTATCAGAACCTTAATAATTTTACTTACCGTATTTTTTACAATTTGCCCTCGGAAATGTTTTAGTTTTCCTCTAAATTATGCAAAGAGATGTCAAATGTTTAATGTTGCAACGCACTATTCATTTAATTAWCCACGATTGTTCGCAAGGAAAAACAGAAATCTGACAAAACTTTGTTCTTCTTCTTTATTTGCTTTTAGAGCACAGTCGATTTCCTTCTCTATATTGAATTTATCTAAGTCACAATTGTAAACAATATAAATATATAAATACGTAAATAATTATTATTTTTTAAATAAGATATTTTATTAAGCAAAAAAAAATTGAGAAAATAATTGATTTTTACACAGCTACAGAAATAAGAGAATTTTACAATTCTGAATGTTGGTTAACTGCTTTGCCGACTTTTGCTGCTAAAATCAGAGAACGYATAATAATTTACGATCCCTGGTAAAATTCAACTTTGTTTTTGACACTTGAATCTGACATTAAAAGTTGCTCGTCATTCGTAAGGCATAGCAATTCTCAACGAAACTCAAGTGAAAATTATTACAATTGGATAACTATTTGTACAGGTAGCTATATAAACAAAATTAAACAWTTTTATGCTTCTTATATTAGTACAAATTCTCAGTTTTCAACGTAAAGAAAAAAATGTTTGGTCGTCAGAGCGGTATCGGTGGTGGTAACACCAGCAGCAGCTCCAATTTGGTGGAGTTTCGGGCAGGTAGGATGAATATGATAGGCAAAATGGTGCATCCAGATGCTCGCAAAGGCCTAGTGTATTTAACACAGAGTGAAGATGGTCTTATGCACTTTTGCTGGAAAGATCGCACCACTGGMAAGGTAAATGGAAACATACATACGTGTACCTATTGCTAAACGTTCTCTTTTGTATGTAGGTGGAGGACGATTTAATTGTTTTTCCTGATGACTTTGAATTCAAACGTGTTGAACAATGCAAAACGGGACGAGTATATGTGTTGAAATTTAAATCGTCCTCACGTAGAATGTTTTTCTGGATGCAAGAACCAAAAATCGAAAAAGATGATGAGTTATGTCGCCGGGTAAATGAATTGATGAACAACCCACCTTCACAACAACGTAACAATAGTGATAATGGCGATCTACAATACATGTTGAACAACATGTCACAACAGCAATTGATGCAACTCTTCGGCGGAGTTGGTCAAATGGGCGGATTAACATCTTTATTGGGTTCAATGAAGTAATATAATTATAATATAAGTGTTAGGTGTCAATAATACTTATGTCTATATATTTTAGTCGTTCTGAAAATAGTTCTCGTACACCAGCACGCAGCGGCAGCAGTAATACTGCAAGTAATTTGCTAACACCAGAATCAAATACGGCACCTAAAACACCTTCCGCACCCAAAGGAAAGGGTAGTAATAGAAGTTCCGCAGGCGCCACTACCACCAATGTCAATACGAACTTATCATGTAAGTTTTAACTCTGATTAGAAAATAAGTAACTTTAATTTAAACACTACACTTTTTATACAGCTACCGCCAGCCGTACCCTGAGTGTTGATTTATCTACTGCTATACAAGGTTCAGAGGCCATTAATCAAATAATATCAGATCCAGAACGTGCAAAAACTTTATCAGTACACCTACCTGAAAGCGAAGATGCCGATGAAAATAAAAAACAACAAATTAAAGACACTATTGCTTCACCGCAATTTCAACAAGCGCTTTCTTTGTTCTCAAATGCCCTGCAATCGGCACAGCTGGGCCCTGTAGTTTCACAATTTGAATTAACACCGGAAGCTGTTGCAGCCGCATATGCCGGAAATTTGGAAGATTTCGTTAAGGCTTTAGAAAAGTCACTACCAGCTGGCGCTACCATGGATACTACCAAAGCCAAAGAGTCCGACAAAGAAAAGGAGCCATTAAAGAAGAATGAGAGCGAAGAAAATAAAACCGATAAAAAATAATAGTTACACTTAAATATGTGTCCGATCATATAATCATTAAAAATATAAATATATGATTTTACTTTAAAAATATACGCAATTATTTACATTTATACATTGATTAATTTCGGGAACTGTGTACGTTGCGGATTGTAAAACTTACAGTGGAAATTTCGAACACTTTCACATGAAATTTTATCACAAAAATAATTATTTTATAACACAGTTCGAAAACGAATACACCTTTTTAACTTTTACATAAAAAGGTGTTTTTTATTCGAAAAATTTATTTTCAATTCTGCTTCAACAAAAATGTATGCACTAAATTTAATTATAATTAAAATTTATTTTCGATAATTAGAAAGCCATTCCAAGGTATTCTCTTGCAATGGGATACTCTGAATAATAGTGTTTGAATTTGCACGCATATTTGTTTCGCTCATCCAGCTGATTAAGCTCGTGATATGTTTTTGCTAAGTAAACAAAAATGTCCAAAACTTTAGCATGCGCTTCTAATTTTTTAAAACATTCAACAGCTCTCTCYAAAATGGAAATCCCTTTTTGTAAATTATCCCTTTTCCGTGCCTCGCTTTCGCTAGCTGCCACCATACAACACACGAATATAAAATCCATTTTAGCTCGATCGTAAATACCACCATTCTCATAAATTTTCTCCATACAATTTTTAGCCGCTTGAAAAGCTTTTTGTGGCATTTTCATTTTAAGCAGCGCCTGCGCTAAAACCATATCTATAGCAGCTTGTTCGTATTCCATRTAGGCAGATGTGGCCAATACAGAAGCTTGAATGAGAAATTCCGCCGTTTCGGATGATACGGTGTCTTCACCAATCGTCGTGTATGCTTGTAGTACCAAAACACGTACCTGCGTCAGAACATCCAAGTTCGCACTCTGTAGCAATTTACAAATAATACGGCGTGCTGTATTGAAATATCCCTTCGCAATATACACAGCGGCACGTTGTAGATTCCCCGCATTCTTATCCAGCAAATACAATTGACTACAAGCTTTGAGCGCTTCCTGCCAACGGCAACGATAAATACATTGCTGAATGACAATATGATATTCGCTGATCATCCAATTTTTAGCGTTTGGATGACGTGGAAAACGACTGCGTGCATGACTTTGTACGACTGCGCTCATTTGATGTTCACCCTGCACATTCAACCACAATGAGAGACTAGCGAGTACTTTACTAACACTCTCGGAATTACCAATATCACCAAACGCCCAGGTTTTTTTCAGTTGCAATAGTAATTGTGCATATAGCGAAGAGATTTCATGACGCCCATAAAGGCACCAAAGTGCAGATCTTAAAGCTAAAGAGTCGGAGGCGTGTTCTAGTATTGAATTTTTATTATTGAGTTCATCGCTCTTCAATAGCAATTCAAAGAGATCGAGTGGTAAATAACCGCACTGTGCGCCAAATTTTACAACATATTGAATAGCCAATGATAATGATTGCACCAGGCCGGGGTCCTGTATATCCGGCAGGCTCTTTTCAAAGGGGTCTATTTTGTTGCTGTTCAGTAGACAATACCAAGAGTTTGCTAAATCCAGGCAACGTTTATCGCCACATTCTTGTGCTAACATTATGCATTCCTTAAGTGCGTTCAATGCTTCGCGACGATGGTCAAAACATGCATGTAGCACCGCCAAGTTCACACTGAAATACTGGAAACCCTACAAAAACAAAAATTGAATAAAGTAAAAATAAATAAATTTTATTGCACTCATTATCCACACCATACCTTTTGTTCATATTGTGTGGCTGTGTGCATAGGACTGCGATCAAAAGCGCGATGGAGCGCATCCATTGCTCCATAGAAATCTCGCAGTCTTAATTGGTTCATGTAGCCCAGAAAGTAGGCTTGCGAGTTTAGCGGATTATCCTGAATTATTTCATTTATTTTCGTTTGTAGTTCTATTGGAGGCAAAGCGCGCAGTTCGTTATTTTCTAACAATTTGCATTGTTGTGCAACGAAGAGATCGGCTTGTTTCGGTGACCATTTACTATGAGGATTTCGATCTTGGTGTACCGTTTCAGTATCTAAGGCCGATTCTTCTAACGTGTTAGCAGGATCATCAGAACCACGTTCAGCTGCACGCGAAAACAAATTATCCTGTGCGCTAGTTAGAGCGCCACCAACTCTACGTGGACCAATTGCGAGTGTGCGTACTCCTGTAAAGAAAAATATATAATATTATTTACAAAAAACGACATTGATAATAATAGCACCAACCCTTTTCATAATATAAGCAAATATTCTTATATAAAGCCATAATTTCTGGAAATGACATACGCTCCAGTATAACACAAACACGTCGAATATACAGTCCAACAATACTAAATTGACTGACACCTAATTCCTCAGATAAAAGGTTGTCCCAGTTTTGGCGCTCAGCAAAATCACAAAGTGTTTCAATACCAAGCGWAAAAATATTGGACATGGCTTTTTCAAAACTTTCCAAGTGGAGTGCATTGATTTTATACCGTGGAGATGTGAGTAAGTGATACAAATCGTTGTATGTCATATCGGGATATTGTATCAATTTTAATAGTAGCATACAAAAATTTCTTCGTGCCTGTAAAGGATAAGCGACACCTGCGTCGGTGGCGGCATTCTTAACTTTTAAGTACTGCTGCACAAGTATTAAAACTGCAACTTTATGTGGTGGTGGTGTTTCGATTCTTGTAGTATAAGTGGGGTTACGTGGATCCAAGGCTTCCAGCTCTTCGTAGTGCATTTTGAAGCTTTTCACAAAAGATCCTAATGCAGTTGCTTTCCAAATAAAACTCGGTTTACATTAACAAAACAAAATAAATTAACACGACCACTGTTTTCATTAGTTCGATAAATTCTTTAGAATTATTTGAAATGGTAATGCAGTGCACTGGCTGATGTTTATGATTCGACTCCACTTAGAAGCTTTAGTACTCCCAGTGTGTAATAGATTTAATATAATATATATTTAATGAAGACTGCTTTTTACCAATATAAATGCATTATTTTAAATAAAAAAAAGATTAAATGCATTTTTATATTAATGCACAAATTACTTTAAAGCTTATTTAGCTTAGAAATTATATTATAGTAGAATGCCAACTAATTTTATAATGAAAATATTTTATAAACATTCTCTTTTGTGTTAATGTGGCCCTAGAACTCTGTGTGTCAATCTTATAGGAAATTGCGATTAATAGTTCGGCTGAGTATATGTAATAAGCTAATTAATGTCTCATTTTACTACAAAATCCGTCAAGTCAAACAAACGAATAATAATTTTGAATACGATATTTCATAAAAAAAAAAACCATAAAAATCGTAAATTAGAACCCAATTACTGATTGCCAAAAAACTAAAAATTCTATACTTTACAAAGTAGTTAAGCTTGCATGAAGTTTGCAAATATTTAATTAATCCGAAAATAAGACATCCATTTTACTTAATATTTCTCATTTCCTTTTTTAATTGGTCATTTGCCAGTTCCCTATTCATTTTCCAGTTTGTTCACAACACATCGGCGTTTATTGTATTTTATTTGCGCTTGCTTTTGCTCACAATTCGCACAATTGATGGCCGCAAAAGCTTTTGGCTCGGCGCAATTTGTTTTTAATCGTTGCTTGTCATTGACGCAAATTCCGGCGGCAGAATTGGTGCGGCGTATTATGTACACGGCAATCTGAACAGTATTTTTATATAATAACAACAACAAGTGGTGTGTTTATATGCAAAAGTATGAATGTATGCATATTGTTTATATGCGCTTTGCGCAGTGCTCTTATCAAAAACAAATGACGAAGCGAGAGTATATAAAAACCGGAGTACTTGTAGAAAAACAACAACAAATTCAATTGTGCGGGGTATAGTTGTGTATCTACATATTTGATAATGTGTTGTATGTTTTGTGTGGCGCTTCGCTTTTTTCCGTTTGCATGGCGAATTATTTATTCATATATGTGTATGTAAATGTATATACGCAACTACTAGACGCATGTCAACCAGAGAACTTCAAACATAAGTTCTCTGTGTCAACATCAACAAAACGAAAAAGAGAGAAGTAATTTATAAAGAGAGAGAGAGAGCTTATATATTTACATTTGTGTGTCCATTTAACGTATATGTATATAATACTGATTTGTATTACATATAGAAATGGTTGTTCAAAAGCGAAAACACCAATAAAATAACCGAAGTGCAAGGCCTGAAAAAGCTATTTATGAATGTTCATTGCAAGTTGGCGCAGAAAGTATATTATATAYTTACAAATATAAATATGTATATATAAATTTATAACTCAAAAAATACTTGTACATGTTTCATTTTCTTGAATTATGTATGTATGTACATATGTACGTATGCTTTAGAAACGAAAATGAAATTAATAGGAAGCAAGCAATAAAGTTACGCGAAAACGGCAAAAGTGAAAAGCAACCCGCTCGTCTTCCTTCATGCCCACCTGCCAACCAAACACCCCCATGCCCTTTATGCTTGCTTATATGTACATTTGTTCGTTTGTCACACCGCTGATCGCTCGGCTCTCGTCCCCATCCAAAGTTTAGGTAGCCGGCCCGGCGACCTCTGCTGCGTATCATAACGTTGTATCGTTGTTTGTTCGTGTGGAGCCCACAAGTCAAAAAACAAACAACTGGGCGAAGGCGGGGAGCGAAAGCGTCGTTGCTGTCGCAGCTGCTGTCACTGCCGTTGCTCTGCTACCAGTGCGAATAAACGAGAAATTGCGTTTTATCGCTTGTGCTGATGAAATGTGTTTGTTTTTCGGAAATTTTGCAGCATTTAAAACTTATCAAAAACGGAGTTTTAACAAATTTAGTTAAAATATGAAATGTTATGAGTAAAAGTTCTGATATTTTTTAAATCAAAAATCATAAATTAAATGTGAAATGTACCTGCTATTCGTGAAAATATATTGAGAAAATGTGGCGCGTCTTTACTGTAGTTTATGTATTTCTTGTTATGAAAAAAACTTCGTGTTATGAAAATATGGCTTATTAATATTATCTGAACTTTTTGGAAAAAAATATCAACATAATAAAACAAATGCAGTACAAATTTCGTATGAAGAAATTATTATCTTATCGACAAATACTAGTTACCTTTTCAACTTGAAACCAATGGAAGTTTAACMAACAATATTGTTAAAARKKRAAAAAAATAAATAAATTCAACAAATTCGAAAAAATCGACAACAATTCACAAGTAATTGGCTTATTATTTTAACTCCACTTGGAATTGTACCTCAATTACAGGAACAATCGATAAGGTAAGTTGTGCTGAAAGTGACTAAAAATATTATGTCTGTTTGTATGTAATCACAGTAAAACGTATGTACATAGATTATTTAAATTCATGGGCACCTTAACCAAAAAAATGTAAACAAAATAAATACATACACATGTACATATGTATGTATGTATATCCAAGCCCTGTACATAAGTATGTATGTAAGTCCAAGCCCTGCTGAAAGCAAGTTAATAATTTCTTGAAAAGGTGACCGTGAAAAGTTGAATCGTTAAAGTGCATACCTACTAACAAATGTATCTATGTATGTGCACATGTCGGTCCTACAAACAATATGCCTTTCTGCGCATACATACATACATATTCCTACAAAATCCTGCTCAGACATATGTACATATATGTATGTAGGTAAGTGTGTACGTATTTACTGTAAAGGAAATTAAACATTTTAAAATGCTTCAATGTTTAACTTATTGAATGACAGTTTCATAGACCAGTTGACTTGTATAAAGAAACTTATAAAACGCTAGTGTAAACAAGTACGTGACATTTGCCCCAAGAAACATCTTAAATTATAGAACAAAAATGTATGGAGTGTCGGGTTATATGCATATGTATGTATGTATGGGTGTAGATATGTAGATTGAGTACGGAAACCCGACAGCATTCCTTAAAACTGTTTTTGACATTTTCTGTCACTACAAATCTAAAAACACCAAGCTATTGGAGCCTACCCGGGCCAACCGCACTATGTTTATATATCAATATATGCTATACATATATACGGGAGATATACTCTATATTTACATACGTAGATTTTTTGTCGAAATATAAAAGTTTTGAAACTATAAAACTTAAGGTTTTTTCAAAATACTCAATACAGATCCAAAGGTAGAATTTGTGTTATCTTCCCGACATTTTTTCGTGGGAAATCCAAAAGGATGATTTGTATTTTCCTTTTAATATTCCTACAATACATACTTGTGAACCGAACTCTAACTAAACAAACTATAAAGGCTTAAACTTTTGTACATCTCGGTATTTTTTGGACCACATACGCACCATTAATAGAAAAATACCTGAAGCTATGCCGATAAAAGTTGTAAGGACCAATTTTATTATGCGATAATATTCATACATACATACATACATATGTACATAGTAAGCATTTATGTATAATAATGCCAACTATTTTGGAAATGAACGAACATAGATATACTTTGTTATTATTGCGTTATTTTTCTTTTTACCATGAAAATAAGAGAGTACCATTAATATTCACATACACATGTAGTTATCTCTTTCAAACAGCTGACGTGACATCGATATGTGTATATTATTTTTGCACTGTTCTTATGTTTGTCCTTTGAGTCGTTGGAGCTTCTCTGAGAGCAAATACTCATGCTGTGATGGGTATGGAATGGCTCAAACCATGATAGTTTGGGGAAGGTTGCGTTTGTTTTATATTGACGTTGAAAATCTTTCCATATACAAATACATATGTACATTTGTACAAACATATGACTATGTCTGTATTTACATATGTACGTACCTCCCTTTAAACTGAACACACCCATGGTTAAACTTACAAGCGTTGTCCTTCCACAACGTCCCTTTTAGCGAGAGCTAAACTTTCTCCTTTGATATTTTTTTTTACTTGTACTCCTTATAGTCGGATTATCGACATTTTTTTAATGCAATTTATATACGTACATACATATGTATATGTATATATGTACATATGCTTATTTGTACATTTGTATTTGTCTGTTCAACTTTTTATTCACTTTTACTAACGTCTGTACTCCAAATTCGATTCTGTTGTCAAAAGGGGGTATATAAAAAATTACAATGTGTAATAAGCGGGATCACAAAACGGCGCAATGGCACTTAAATATGTATGTACATATATACATTGCAAATAATTTATATACACCCATACTACATACTATGTACACGTATTGCATTTACGGTTATTGAAATACCGTCAAATATTTTGGTATACCAACAATTATACTTGGAGTTCAGACTCTTGTTCTGGAACTGTATTGAAATTTTATATAAAATAACCATTGGCAATGGTCAGCTAAAATGTATTTTTAAATAAAATGTTAATAAATAATTCGAGTTCCTCGAAGTCGCATACATACATATTTACTTATTTGTATTCATACATATGTATACAGTAAATAGATACTATGAACGTAAAATTTGTGAGATTAATATCCAATACCTTTTTAAGCGGGTTTGACAATTTTTTTTATAAGTCATATTTTTTAATATTTTATTTAGACAAAAGAATAAAAACAAAATATTTATAGTCGAAGCCTCAAAATTAAGAGTCAATTTAGATTAATAAATGAAAAAAATAACATGTAAGGAACAGCCATGTTCGGGTGGAATCGAACATTTTATAACTCTTGCAACTTGCAAGGATCAAAGCCATGAAAATACCTTCAGATATAAAACATCAATCTGATAATCGGATCAATACAACTTTATACATAAATATAAAATAGAAAAACGAAAATCATTATACATATTAAAAGGGAGTTGAGCTACTATCGACCCAATTTTATACATATATTAACAATTATAATGCCACACACAAAAAATGTTCCGTGGTCTTTGAATATTATCAGAGCTGGATTGTTTTCATCCATTTCGACGGATGGAGTCATGTGTAGAAGTTCAAGCAAGTGAGGAAAATTCTCTAAGACCCATTCACTTGGGAGTGGCCAGAAACGATTCTTTTACATATGGCTCAAGACTGACAACTATAGATCCTGGGGACTTTACCTAGGGGAACGATTTTGGAGGTGAAATTTAATGTGTGTCTTTTAAGTTATTAATTTATTTCGCTCTTAGTAGTTTTGAGCAGGACCGTTATATGGGAAGTGAGTGGGGTTATCTTCCGATTTAATCCATTTAMATACATAAAAAAAATTTGGCACCCGTGTATAAACTGCAATCTTCTGTGGTAAATGACAGTTTTATACCTTAATTTAGTACTTAGTTTTCGGTTAATGGCATATTTGGGCGGGAGAGTTGTTCCGACTACGCCTATCTACGAAGTCCAATTTTTCTTACTAAGGTGCGAGCATATCAAGTTTCAGCTACGTCATATTATTACCAGATATATGTAGGTATGATATGCCTTTACTGGCATAGGACCGCTTACGCGGTTATAGCTGAAGTTAAAACAGCGCACCAGTCATTTTTCTTCCAACGGAGTGGAGGTCTTCCTCTGCTTCCCCCGGAGGGTACTGCGTCGAATACTCTCAGAGCTGGCGTGTTTTCATCATTCGGACGAACTAGTCGTGCTGTCTCTTAATTCGCTGAACTATGTTACTGCCGTCGTTCTGTCGACTGCGATATTCACCGTTGCCACAAAGAACTATAAATTTTCCTCAGAACCTTTCTCTCGAAAACTCGTAACGCCGACTCTTCAGACGTTGTCATCCTGCTTTCAAGAGTAATTCTGCGTTGGATTTCGAGCCTGACGCTGTTGTTGGTATTAGTACTGGTTCTAAATCTCCGAAATTATCTATGACTTCGAAGTTATGACCGTCAACAGTGAATTATTTTATYGAAATCGGAGAGGTCCTCGATTCTGACGGAGCTTTTGGTATTGCTCAACGTCAATTTACACAGCCGGCATAAAGGCAGCTCCTTTTCGTGCTGTCTCTAAAATAAAATTTTAAAATCGACTAGGAGTTGGTGTGTGCCGATTCTCTTTTCACGGGTCTTTTCAAAAATTTGGCGCATGAGGAATATCTGGTCAGTTGCTGATTTTCCATACCTAAAAGCACACTGATAGCGCCCAGTCATTTTGTTGACGGTGGGCTTTAATCTTTTACACAATACGCTTGATAGATATGCGATGTTGAGGAGGCTTAACTCAAGATAGTTGGCAAAGATTGTGGGTCTCCCTTTTCTTCATGCTTCTTATCAGTTCTTTACAGCCGTATTTGAATAGCTCGGCCGGCAATCCATCGCCGCTTTGTTGTTCTTCAGACRGATGATATGAATTTGTTTATTGTCGGGAAATGGAACGTCTGCTCCATCATCAGCGGGTTTACAATCTCCAGGTGTTATGTTTTCACTGCCATTCTGCAGACTGGAAAAGTGTTTCCTCCATAATTTTAGTGTGCTGTGGGGATCAGTCACTAGATCACCTCTGGGGGTTCTACAAGAGTATGCTCCGTTTAATTGAAACTTTTTATTGGCCGACGCATCCTTTCGCAAAAGTTTTCGAACATTACCCCTGCCGGCCAGCTTGTCAAGCTCTTCGCACCTCTCTTTTTTATCTGTAAATGCGTCTTCTTCTCTCTACTCCCGGTATCTATCTCATCCTGCATGTGTTGTGGGCTCGAGACATTTAGCTTAATTAATAAGCCTAAAGGCGTTTCAAAAAATTTCCCTCTACAAATAAATCTTTTAAATATGAGGGTTACCTTGTCTTACCTTACTGCCATACTCCCATATTATTATCGAGCACCGTCTATGCTTTACTGTAATCGTTTTGATTTTTCCGACCGCCTTGAATTATGAGTTAAAGAGAGTTTAAGTCTAGTTAGTTGAGTTTTTGTTGTTGTTACGAGTACCTTGACCCTGTTTGGGGGAAAGTAACATGTTATCTGTCGTAGAGGTCACTTAAAGAGCTGTTCGAGGGATTCGGACCAAAGAGGGAAGGGAGTTAAGTGAGTGGGATTCATGAGACATGCAAAGAGTTGGGTATGACAGGAACTATTCTAGATACGAAGAAGTTTAAATATGGCTTCGATCAATTGAGAAAATTGTTCCAAAGAATTCTTTTAGTTTGATGGGTATGAGTAAACGACTTTAAAAATTAAGCAATAAAACCTAGTGTATGGTATTTATAAATTAAATTTAGGCACAAAATTTCGCAAAAGAATCACTTTATTTTCAACCATCTTTCGTTTTGTCGAAAATTTAAATTTTTATCCAAGTTTATGTGAATTTTAACTGCTTACACATTACAAATAATTAAATCTTTTCAAACTTCCTTTAATTGTAATTATTTATGTGCGCACATCTATATATGTATTTGAGTTTGGTTTTTACTTAAATGAGCTTTAACAATGCTTCCTTTAGCTACGCGTGCATTTAAAAGCTGAAAGTGTGCATTCTATATATTTTTGGCGAAGTTTCACTGTCACTCTCATTCTTACTTTCACTTGAAATGGAAGTTTTTTGTTTGTAGCTTGAATAGTAGTTTTCATACACTCATACTTCGTAGTGTACATACATTGGTTTTCAGTTTATTCTTTTCTGCATTTTCCTTTTCTACTTCAAATAACTAGTTGCGGGAACTTACTTTCATTTCTGCAACCTGGTTAGCGGATTCCATATATGTTGGGTCGACACTTTTTGTCCCTCTTCATTCATTCATATAATAATAGTTGGCGCTTTCTTATGTAAATATGTATATTCAAGCTCAATSAGATGCTTACGTATGTATGCTTTTATATTCGTGGAAGGTCAGAAATATAAGTAACTTCTGTTACCTAATGTTTGCTCAGAAAGAAATACATATTGATTTACCTATGCTCCTTTGTATGCTCTTACACATAACAAATAAAAATACATAAGTTTAAACATGTCAAATTAGGAGGTACGGGTATTTTTCCCAAACTGAAGTAAATGACTACTCCTTCGATTTTTCTATTTTTTTTCTCCGCAAGAAACATGATTAAATCAAAGCAGTTTCGTTCAATAAAACCATTTGACCATAGCACACTTAACACCATTCATAGAAAGCCAAAAAGGATCACGGACGTTGTGTCAATTCAATAATTTATATTTAAAACTGCCCCCTACATCGAAAAAGTGTTCGGAGGCATTACACAAATCACCATTGTACCTCTAGTTTACAGATTTAACGCCCTTTTCTGTGTGATCCAACCACTTTACATGAAGTTGTAATAAATTTAGACCTTGTCTATAAAAATTATGCAGATTTAGATAATAGTCCATACATAAGTACATACTGTATGTGTAAGTTGGTACCTTTTGAGCATAATATTTAAAATATAAAAACCCAAATGTATAAGGACATAATAGCGATTTTTATAATTCTATTTAAATATTCATTTTTTATTATTTAATTAAAATTAGAATTCCACAGGTTTCAAAGTAATGAATCTCGACAATATGAATGCTACTATAATAGTAGCACATACAAAGCAAAATACGAATGTATAAAATGATTCTTCAGTGAAAATGTCGGTAAAAGCTGGTATATCTTCGTATATCTGTTCAATTACAGCTAATGTGCCTTTATGTTTTTTCACCATTTTTTTAAATCTCTAGAAGAAGCACTTGATGTAAAATAGGTTTAGTTATGCTTTTGATTTAGCTTTGGTTTTATTTTTTCTTCGATCCTTTTTTACCACCAGCACCGCCTGCTAATTTTTGTTTTTCTGCTTTAGTAGTTACCTTTGATGTGATCTCCTCAACTGGCGCTAGTGTAGAGACGTGCTTGTTAAGTAGCTGCAAAAGTTCAAGTGTTGTCAAATTGCTGCTGAGAAAACGAACTTCTTTCACTTGAGCTTTTTCTAAAAGAAAAATTTCGTTAGAATTATAATTTCATTAAAATGTGAATCCTTACCTTGAGCGGAATCAATTAAAGAAAATTTCACCTCCGAAGGTTGACGATTGCAAACCACATCTGTTTTTATGACACAGCTGGGATTGGTAAGAAATATTTTAGGAGTTGATAGCAGAGATAGAAAATCCCTAAAGAAAGAAAAAATACATTATAAATTTAAACATATGTTTATATATTTTACAGCTTCAGACTTCTTTCTACTATTTATTTTTAAACAGATTGTGTCGCTATATCTGATATAGGGAAAATAAAGGCCTCAAACTGACACCGACACCGACAAAGATGTCCACGGAGCGTGAGCTCGCTCCGGGAGGACCAGCACAGCTCCATACTTTACCTGTCGCTTTTTCAGATCTCGGAACTACACTACAATTGAATACCGCTGTTCGAATTATTGGCAAAGTGTATGGTAAGTATTCTACTTTAAATTTGATTTAATATTGTATGCGTAAATGCCTCCTGCTTGGTCGGTTGTATGAAAATTTGCATGAATAATCTCGAAGCTTTATATTTTATATATCGTGCAATCTGACAGTCGTTGCTCCGTATTGCGCATGCCTCAAAATGAGTATTTATTTTGACAATGTTGAAATAAATGACATGGTTTGGCGAACAAGGAGTAAGAGATTATAACCGATTCGGTGTGCTTATTTGTACCGTGCTTTAGTTACCTTGTAGACCTCACATTTTCTGAAAATGGATCAAACGTAACAGTTATTCTCTTAACTCCCTTTAAATTTACACTTTTCAATTGTTTGCTTATAGCTGCAATTATTCCATTCGATCGTTTTAGAGCTCCACTGAAGGGTATAGACATTTTGTAGCCTTTTACGTTAAGTTTTTAATAATTCGTACTCGCTTGTAGTTGTTTTATAATATGGCATGTTACGTTCATTTCTAAGCGCATGACATTTGCTACTAGAAGCACAGAGTTGCTCTTATTAGACTACTTCAGTGGTTTTGAAACTTATATTTGAGTTAAGATGTGAAAATTAGAATTATTTGAAAAATTACGATATGTATGCAACTTATTTATATATAAGAGTACATCATTTTAAATTATGAGTGCATAAGTATCAATAAATGCCGAATTCTTCAATTTCTCCAAGTCATAAGACTTAAAAAAACGACATTCGTTCAAAGTAGGTGGGAATGACAACACTTTTTGCTTACGATAGTACATCAATGTTCGAAATATTTCGAATATATGCACACACAAACTATTCCGAACACCAAGGTGTACAACAGAGAAAACTCTGTAAACGATTGTTTGTAAATATATCTTATTCACTCACACCCTTTGTTTCTCACTTCGAAATCTCGTTCAGATTTGCAAGGTGGTGGACTAAGGAAAGTCGTGTAAAGAAAGAACGTTGAGAATCGTGAAAAAATTGTTTCGAGTGCTGCTGCTGAAATTTTCAATAGAATTTTTTGCATAATGTGTGGAGGCAAAGTTAGAAAAAATATCAAAAAAGTTTAGGGCTTGTGCTAAATAATATTATGTGCATGAACTCGAATTGTAAAAATAGTTGAACTATCACAAATCAGTTCTCGAAATTAGCAAAGCACATTTTTACGTCTTCAATCGTTTGGTATGTTCGTGTATTAAAATCAAAGGAGCCCCACTCGGAAGCAGCAGCAGCCAAATTATTAAAACGAGAATAAAAAAATGCAGTTGTAGATCATCAGCAGAGGTCAATAATACAAGTTATAAATCGCGAAAATTGAACTTTTATTGTGTTCCGTTTCATTGCTACCTGCCATTTAAGGGGGAAAACGCTAGACATATATTCCCTTCACAAATCAAATTCACAGTTACGAGCGATGCTCAAGTGTGCCAGCTTATTCCCACTATAAACAAACAACCGATTCTCAAAGCATTTTTACTTATAATAAAATGAGTAAACACAGTTGGGTGAAAAATTGAAAAAATAATATTACTACATATGTATACATAACGATATAAATACCTACATATATATATCAATATATATAATGCATATTGTGCCTGAGATTGTGTTCTAGATTACTGCAAATTCAAAAACGAAGTTTGTAGTTCAACATAAACTTCAAAGTGTCTGTTAAGTGAGGTTAATATAAATGTGAGAATATTCAGTTCTTCATAAATACGTCACCACAAATTGTAATACATACAAAATTTTGTGTACTACGAACAGGCAGCTAAACAATAAACTAAAAAAAAATACAACATTTTATTGAATTAAGAGAATTAAACGAATTCCAACATTTAAGTGATAGTAAGAAGGCTGAAATATTTATTTAGCAATAAAAGCAAATGTGCTGAAGTAAAATCGATAATATTAAACAATTAAAAAAGCAAGTTAGAACTGCGGTATTTATAATAATAACAACTCAATACGAAAAAGACTCATTTTAACGTTTAGTAAATATAAAGTTACAAATCGTACTAAAAATAATTTCGAAAAATGTATCCACACGGACAGCGTAAGTTTAAAATTCCCGAATCTATATAACTACTTAGTGACGAACAATATCTTACTATAAAGGAACTATATAGTATATACAATATTTAGTACTAAGATATTCGATATATATTAAAAACTATTATAAAGAATGTACATACTTGTTCATTTGTTGATCTGGAAGATTAAATGTTAAGATAATATTGATGTGATAACTTTTAACAAGTCATGACATTTGTTTAAAAATTAAATAAAGATAAAACACCGCCAATTATTAATATCAAGGTAACGCGTCCAAATGGTTAAGGGTCTTCAACTAGGAGAATATAGTAACAATGGAATTTGGCTTACAACCTARAGCCTTTTGGGGCCCCACCATTGGTTTTAGAAACATAGCGTAATAACTCATTAAAGTTCTATATATGGACAGAAAGATAGGCCATTCATATTTTATTAATGGTATAGTGTGCTGCCAAACTACATTGTTGGTAATCTACAGATTTTTTAAACCATATAAACCATATACGATTTTACATATATTCTTATAGCTTCTCTTTATATATAATTTATAAATTATAAATTTTGTATGGCCGCCGGAAATTTATATTTTTTTATTCGGATTTCTAGTGTAACGATCAGTAAATATACAATATAAAGTGATCAATTTTTTGAACGTGGGTTAAGTTCAATCAACACATGCATAACGCATTTTTGTTTGTATTTTTTAAGGGACAGAAGATTTCTTTCTTATTGACATCTATCTCAAAAATTAATGTATTAAGTAAATTTATAAACAAACTATTGTATGAAAAGTAAATTAATATTAATCAGCCCGCTAAGGTAAAGATCTTAATTAATAATGAAGTTATTTAAAAATTTGGAGATTGGTTTGCAATACAAAACCATTCGTAAATATTAGCAAATGTAGCATTTTATACATAGTGGTTTTAATACTTAGTCATAAATATTAAATATTTAATTTAATTGTTTTACACCACTATGCAAGTTTGTAAAATTTTAATAATCCTTTTATATACATATAAATAATCTATAGTAATATTTGCTATATAAAAATTAACTAGTTGAACATATTTTCCCATACCATGCAACTACTTTTGTCACAAATGAAATTAAACTAGAAACTTTTTAGAGAGTTTAAATATCTGTAACTTACTTGTTTATTTTAAAARGAAAAACGCGGTCGAATAAATAGTATGGTATATATAGTCACTAGTATATAAATATATTTATGTAAATATATACGTACAATATCTATAAGTATATTTGAGTTTATACATAAATGTACATATGTTTGTTATCTTATCAGATAGGAATAAAAGAAATTCACTAAACGAAATTATGTCAGCTGCATGGAGAAACCATTGTTTAATAGTTTAAAAAGACATAACGTACTGTATAAGAAAAAAATTACTTCGTTTAACACTAATTAGTATATCTAATATTTATTTCTAACAAGGAATCTAAATCAGTACCTTAATAAATATTTATAAGGGTGACTTAATTTTACGCCTTGTTGGTGTACTTAACTCCTACTAGAAGCAATGTTTTCTTTAAAAAAGTAATATCATTTCCCAAAAACCATTTTATATACAAAAACTATAGCATAAATTTAACATTTTTATATGGACACTATATAACAAAACATATCAATGCATTAAAGAATATATTTAGTGTTAGATTCCACAGATGAATTATGTTATATACTATTTAATATATAATATGTGCAAACATATGTATGTGTGTTTGTTTATGCTTTTAATTTAAGCTTAATCTTATTACATATACAAATTTTATTTAATGGTGAACTGCGTCGCATAATATTAATAGTACTAATTCCTCTATTTTATCATTCCTTCACATTCCTTCCGAATCAATTGAATTCACATAAATTTCAAATTGATTTCACGTTCATATTTTTTGTTTCCTTATTTTTTATGCACTTTTTATTTTTATTTTTACAACTAAATTGTGTATTATTTTTGATTTTTTCTTTTTATTTTTCAATTATAGAATCTCAATGGACACCTTCGCCCCCGCGGCCTCAGAGCCCCACACAATCGCAGACCAGTTTCGAAAACCTCACATGTAAATTGAATTGAAATTATTTAGAAATTGAAAATTTTTGAAATTAGTGATTTGAAATGTTTTCTATATTGGCTGACWAAAATTCTCTTTAGTTTCGTTTGTTTGCTTGAACATCGTTTTTGTTTTTATTATTAAACCTGTATACTTTTGTTGGTTTGTCTTTTGTCCTATGTTATTTTCTAATCGCATTATTGTAACTAAACAAATTCTCACACGTATTGCATAATTACTAATAATATAAACAGGGTTATTGTGGACACTGATAATATGTCGAAATCGGTATTGAAACCGATAAATATTTGTAATAGTTATCATGAGTTTTGATATTATTGATTAAAATGTTCGAATCAGAGTTTATTGGTTTTTGGTGACATGAAAATAGTATAGTTGATTCGAGTATGTTTTGCTTACTTTCGAGAAGACGAAAATCTAATCATACAAATATGTCGTGAACTCCTCAATAACCCTGAAATTGTAGATATATGTATGTATGTACTCTTATATTTTTTTATATGTATGTAAAATGTTAAACTAACCACAGTTTTATTTGTAATTATTTAAAAATGTATTTGTGCATATGTAATGTAATAATATATTGCAAAAGGAATTTTCATAGTATTATACAAGTAATTTAACTCTTTAATGCAAATATTTTTTAATTAGCGTTAGTTTGGGGTATAAGGGGACAGAACTATAAATAATGTATAGTTGGCCGACCAAAAAAAGTGTTTCCATGCGATTTAGRGCTTTTCAAGACATGAAATCTTCGATAATCTCAGAAGCTTATAAAAAAAAAACTTAAATTTTCTCAGTTTGCTTTACTAAAGTTCAGAAATAACAAGTGATACCTGTAGTAAGTAATAAAAAAGGTATAATAGTAAAAAAATGGAATCCAAACATTAGGAAATTCAAAACCTTCCTAGGATCGAGTTTGTTGACATTAGTTTAGTAAAATATTGTATTTTTAAATGTAGTAATTGTTGTTGTTATTATTGTGGCGGCAGAATTCTTGCGAGTTGACAGTACTTGACCGGATAAAAAAACCGGGTCCGTTACGGTTACGTAGACCCGACTRTCGTGGGAACGGTTTAGATTTTGTTCAATTTCATTGGCTTATACTGATTTTTATTTTATTTTATGTAATTTAAATTGTTTGTAATAAACAATAAACAATAAAATTAAACTAACTATAATTTGTGATTGTCTCAGAAAGTCGATATATATTTTTACTATAAAAGAAAATAATAAAATGTTTGTAAATTAAATGAATACTGCTAGAATTGTCTTGGTACAATGATATTCCTCCGTTTATCACTAACAATCTACATTTCTTGTATTTAGAGGACTTAGGCTCGAGTATATAAGACTCATTTTTTATTAGCCACATTATTACTACTAATCAATAGACAATTTACAATTGATTATCTATTACTAATCGCATTCATTTTGACTTGCATAGTTTATTTGTTATTTAAAGCTTCTATTGCATACCATTGCCTTTAATCGTAGTTTTTATTACTTTTTTATTTATAATTATCTGCATATATAATATATATATATACAACTTACAACATTTTTTGGTGTATAACAGCGCCACCAGCTACCGGTTCATCAGTGAATCCCACCGCCGTGACCAGCCCGAGTGCGCAAAATGTGGCCGTTGGAGGCGCAACTGTGGGTGGCGCTGGTGCCGCTGGTCTGGCTACACAAGCCTCCGCAGTCGCCTCGCCATTGGGTGCGACAGCTGCCGCTTCGCCCACCACGCAACCTGAACTGCCAGTATTCACGTGTCCGCGCAGACCAAACTTGGGACGTGAAGGTCGACCCATAGTTTTACGCGCTAATCACTTTCAGGTGTCTATGCCGCGCGGTTATGTACATCACTACGATATCAATATACAGCCGGACAAGTGTCCGCGCAAAGTGAATCGTGAAATCATAGAGACTATGGTACATGCATACAGCAAAATATTCGGTGTTCTAAAGCCAGTATTTGATGGACGTAATAATTTATATACGCGTGACCCGCTTCCCATCGGTAACGATCGCTTAGAATTGGAAGTAACACTACCAGGCGAAGGGAAAGATCGTATTTTCCGTGTGACAATTAAATGGATGGCTCAAGTGTCGCTTTTTAATTTAGAGGAAGCACTAGAGGGACGTACACGCCAAATACCATATGATGCAATACTTGCATTAGATGTCGTCATGCGGCATTTGCCGAGTATGACCTACACTCCTGTTGGTCGGAGCTTCTTTAGCTCGCCCGATGGTTACTATCATCCCTTGGGTGGTGGCCGTGAAGTTTGGTTTGGTTTTCATCAAAGTGTGCGTCCTTCCCAATGGAAAATGATGTTAAATATTGATGGTGAGTGTGGCGAGAAAAATATCATTATTTAATGTTATCATATTACCATACAATTAAACAAAAAYATATATTATTACTATASATATGTGTGTTTTTCTAACAATTATTGTCGTTTCTTTTAGTTTCGGCAACGGCATTTTATAAGGCGCAGCCGGTAATAGATTTTATGTGCGAGGTACTCGACATACGAGATATTAACGAGCAAAGAAAACCGCTGACCGATTCACAGCGCGTGAAATTTACAAAAGAAATCAAAGGTCTTAAGATTGAAATTACCCATTGTGGTGCCATGCGTCGCAAATATCGTGTATGCAATGTTACACGTCGTCCAGCACAAATGCAATCGTGAGTGTTTAAATTCATACATTTTATTTCTATATCATATATATCTTTTTCTAACTTATTATTTTAGGTTCCCTCTTCAGCTAGAAAATGGTCAAACTGTTGAGTGTACTGTAGCAAAGTACTTCTTGGATAAGTATCGTATGAAATTGCGTTATCCACATTTGCCATGTCTTCAGGTAGGACAGGAACATAAGCATACATATTTACCCCTGGAAGTTTGTAATATTGTCGCCGGTCAACGTTGTATAAAAAAACTCACCGATATGCAAACGTCGACAATGATTAAAGCTACAGCACGTTCGGCTCCCGATCGTGAACGTGAAATCAATAATTTAGTTAAGAGAGCCGACTTCAATAACGATTCATATGTTCAGGAATTCGGTCTGACCATTTCGAACTCTATGATGGAAGTACGTGGACGTGTGCTACCACCGCCAAAACTACAATACGGCGGACGTGTATCAAGTATGACTGGACAGGTGAGTTTAAAAAAAAATTAATGAACAGTTATATTGTTTGGCATGTCAAAGGTTTGCAAATAATGTATTAGTATCCAATTAATATATTATTTGAAATGCATTTTTCAATCCCAAAAATTTTATTTATTTTTATTTTTAAATGTAAATATTGTATTAAAAAATTTTTAATTCCAAACTTGTAATTCAAATCAAAAAAGTAATTGATTTTTGGCATTTGTATTTTTTTCGTGTTCTACCATTTTGGTTACATTTTGAAATGTAAGGTTTTGATGAAATATCAGCATACTATGTACTTTTGCGTATTATTTTTAATTTCATTGCTTTTATTTATCCTTGTCATTCCAACATTTAGTTGATTTTTTTTGTATATTAGTTAATCTAATCATTAAATTAAGAAAAAGTCTCAATTTTTAATCTCAAACGACTAGAATTTAAATTTTTTGTTTTTAATTTTATTTTTTAAATCAATCAAATTATTTTTTAATTTCATTACTTCTTTTAATTAGCAAAATTAGTAGTCATCAGTAACACTAATTTTCAAATTATAAAATATTTTCTCAATTTTTAATCCAAGTAATATTTTATTTTTTATTGTTAAATTAAAAAATACAATTTTCATTTCATAACGTATATTTTGGATTCAAAACTAAATTTTCAATTATATATATATATATTTTTGTAATCAGAAATTTAATTTTTAATACAAACATTTGGAATTAAAAAGTCGCAACCTTAATTATATATGTATGGCTACCACTTTTTTTTTATGTTTACCGTTGTTTAACCATCTGATCGGAATTTATGAGCATAGCTTGCATTTTTACGATTTTTATCATGTCACATTTTTAAGATATGACCGATTTGATAACTTATGTTTTTATTTATTTWTTTATTCCCGAACAGCAACTTTTCCCACCCCAAAACAAGGTCAGCTTGGCTTCACCCAATCAGGGTGTCTGGGATATGCGCGGTAAACAATTTTTCACCGGCGTGGAAATTCGTGTTTGGGCTATCGCCTGTTTTGCACCACAAAGAACCGTGCGTGAAGATGCTTTGCGAAATTTTACACAGCAATTGCAGAAAATTTCCAACGACGCTGGTATGCCCATAATCGGACAGCCGTGCTTCTGCAAATAYGCCACCGGACCAGATCAGGTTGAGCCCATGTTTAGATATTTGAAGAATTCGTTCAATGCTCTGCAGTTGGTGGTTGTTGTGCTACCTGGCAAAACACCTGTTTATGGTAACAAAACAATTTTCGTAAATGATAAATATGATGCAAATACTATTGTATTTTATTTTTTTTTTTACTTAATTCACAGCTGAGGTAAAACGCGTCGGCGACACAGTGTTGGGCATGGCAACACAGTGTGTTCAGGCTAAGAATGTTAATAAGACATCACCGCAAACTTTGTCAAATCTTTGCCTCAAGATTAATGTGAAATTGGGTGGCATTAATTCCATATTAGTACCGTCGATTCGCCCGAAAGTTTTCAATGAACCAGTTATCTTCCTGGGCGCAGATGTCACCCATCCACCAGCCGGTGATAATAAGAAACCTTCGATTGCCGCAGTTGTTGGCTCTATGGATGCGCATCCATCACGCTATGCCGCTACAGTACGTGTGCAACAGCATCGTCAGGAGATTATACAAGAACTCAGCAGCATGGTGCGCGAATTGTTGATTATGTTTTACAAATCCACTGGCGGTTATAAGCCCCATCGCATTATTTTATATCGTGACGGTGTTTCGGAGGGTCAATTCCCTCACGTATTGCAACATGAGTTAACCGCTATACGCGAGGCKTGCATTAAACTGGAAGCAGAATATCGCCCAGGCATTACATTTATTGTGGTTCAAAAGCGGCATCATACGCGTCTCTTCTGCGCAGAGAAAAAAGAGCAGAGCGGCAAGTCTGGCAACATACCGGCTGGCACAACAGTGGATGTCGGTATAACGCACCCGACCGAATTCGATTTTTATCTTTGCAGTCATCAAGGCATACAAGTAAATATTAGCTCAATATTGTGTTGGAAATTTAACTAACTAATGCTTTTTCACAGGGAACAAGTAGACCTTCACATTATCACGTATTGTGGGATGACAATCATTTTGATTCCGATGAACTCCAATGTTTGACATATCAACTGTGTCACACTTATGTCAGGTGTACACGCTCCGTGTCGATACCAGCACCCGCCTACTATGCTCATTTAGTAGCTTTCAGAGCTAGGTTTGTAGTAATATTCTCTTTTTTCCCAGGACAGTGTGTTAAGTTTTCTAAGAAGATTGTGACACTCAAAAGTTATATACATATACTATATAAATGACKAGCGTGACGTGACGAGTATGTTGTAATATGTTAACGAGATGAATCGATTTAACTTTGCCAAGAAAAAATTACACGGGCCAAATCCGTTGAATACGGTGGTTGATCGATGATATTCATTGAGTTTTTGGTTTTAAGTTTGATCACAATCGTGGCTAGATGCGATGATGCATTATCATCGTGTAAAATATAAATTTTTCACATTTTCGGCCGTTTCAATATGGTCAAATAAATATAACACCATATTTACCGTAGCTTTCTCCGGAACAAATTCATGATGCACTAAACCACGGATTTCGGCGTGGTTTTTTGGTTTCAACTCGTTTTTTTTTCTCTTCCATTCTGATGWTTGGTAACTTGTTTGCCTGTCAAACTCATAAACCCATATCTCAACGACAGTTATAATGCTCTCCATGAATGTGGGCTGAAAGAAAATTTATTAATTTTAATAAATTATTTTTAAAATCTTTTCGAACTTTGGTAGAAGCATCTCATACATTGTCTGTAGCGAAACGTATAACATTTSTCACAGCTGATTTAAACACTACAAAGAAAAAAAATGTAAACAAACTAGAAAATTAAAAGCAATGCATCTGAATTCACCTGACAATCGACTTTCAAAATCAAAAAATGGAAARTATTTGAAACAAGTCAACTTTTATAACAGAACACRACATTTCAATGTTTTCTTTTAACAAATATAGTTGAACTTCCCTAACTCGAATCAACATAATYCACAAAAAAGTTTCCAGTTAGAGACAGTTCGAGATATGGAAGGAAATTTGTATGAAATGYGACTTTTATWGTCAATTCAAGAGTTTGAGTTATCGAAATTAAGCTGTATTAAACGATGTGATTATTTAATATCAAAAACGGCTGTATTATGAGTCWCCAACGACACTGAGGACAGTCATTTAATTTTAACTGAAATATTGTTATTGTATGAAAAATTAAGGTCGCTAATTACTTMACTAACCAATTCTTTTCTTCTTAGATACCATCTAGTTGAGAAGGAACACGATTCAGGCGAAGGATCTCATCAAAGCGGCTGCTCTGAAGACCGCACACCTGGCGCAATGGCACGTGCTATAACGGTGCATGCCGACACGAAAAAGGTCATGTACTTTGCTTAAAGGAACTATGGATTCTTTGTTTTTTTTTTTGAAGCATACTATTGTAACATTAAAAATGTACTATAATACAATTAGTTAATATGGAGAATTCATGCTCCGTTCAGTATGCTGAAATGCACAACAATTCAATAACAAAACAACTACAGATTAGTAAAGTTGTGGAAAATAGTTGTTAGGAAAACAACAACACAAATTAATGCATTATTTTACTAGAGATAAGTATACAAAATTGTATATTAATTAAAAATCTACAACAAGGCTATGTAGTGAATACAATGTGCAAATGAAATGTGCAGCAGAATAATAAGTTGAAATGATTTTTTAACATACAATCAATCCTTGTCTAAGCGATTCTGTTTCTTCCAACGCTGTTTGTTTTGTTTTTGCTTGGAGTTAACATTTACAAATTTCGCAAAATTTTCAAATTCTTCGCATATACTTCTTGATTTATAGAAAAGCAAAATTTTGAAAACGCTATAATTCCAATTTTATTAAAAAGCAAAATTTTCAAAACGCTTAATAATTCCCTTTTTTTTTTTGTTTTTTTTTTATAAATCGAAGTATAATCGAAGTTGAAAAATTTGCGAAATTTGTTTATATTTATACTTTATTTCTATTGTTTTCCGAAATATAATTATAACAATAATATTTATTAATTTTTGTAATATTACACTGTGCTACACAAATATGAACCGATTGTGTTTACTACATGAATTCTACATATTAACTAATTGTGTTCTAATGCACTTGTAACCAGCTCTCGACATATGTTTACTACGTATGTAGTTGGAATTTTTTATTATTTGTTTATAATGTGAATATAAACTATTTTTATTCTGTAAGCGTACATCTCCCATAAAGTGAATAGCTTTATACTAATTAAATTATTGTTTAATTTAATGTATTATTTGCAAGCCTGTGTTTGACGGGTATCTACAAAAGAATGCATTTGTAATCAATTGCTGCACCGGATTTGCATAGTACCCCAAAACTCGAAATATCACGAATATTCGAAGCTTTCTCAATGAACTCAATTGCATTTCGATATATTTGAAATGTATTTTACGATGGTACAATTATTTAAAACAAATAAATAAATAAACGAAATACATTCATTGTGCTGATAAAGAATAAATTAACTTCCGTTTTAAGTTTGCCACAACACGTCGTCATCCGTCTCCGCATTAGTACCTTCCCTGTGTAGTGCATATTACACGCAAATATACGCTGTAGGTAAATGTATTAAACTCCAAGCAAAAACAAAACAAACACAATGTCACCTACGTTTAATTGAACGTCAATGAACTTTAATTTAGTTTTTAGTCTAGTTTTTAAGCACCTGAGCTGGGTGATACTACGCAGCTCTAATGGCCAATTTACATATATATTTCTATCAATCAATTATATGTCAATTAATTTGCTCGTTTTTCACGAATTGCACGAAAATTAGAAAATCGGAAAACGCATGTTATAGAAACTCATATAAACAATTATAAGCGAATAACTTTGTACTCAAAACCCACAGTAAAARGCAACACTCATACTTATATACATATTTTGTGTTTTTCGCATTTAGTAAAGTAATCAAATAAGACATTAAGTTCAAATACTTCAACAATGTATTCCTGGTAATATTATTATATTTTCTCATACATTTAGGTATTCCAAATCTTATCGTAATTTCGAAAAAAATGTGCCAAAATTTTATATACTGTATTGTAAATCGTTAAATAGTTTCCAACAGCCAACTCAAAGTAATTTTGATTTTCAAAAACTTGTGTGTGTATTTATTATTATTATTATTTTTTTTTTTTGCATAGTTTCCTGTAATCTCTTGTCTTAAATCTCATGTACCCATATCACATGCACATGCACCTGCTCTACACAATAAAAGTAAAAGGAGTAAATTTACGATATTTAAACGAATATGTTTTAACAATAATAACTTAAGCATAAAAATACATAATTACTTACATACATACATACACATAATTATTTCACATTAAGTCTTAGTTATATACAAAAGCGTATTTTCGTGTTTGGAACGAGCAGCAAGAGCAATAGCCGAAGTAACAGAGCTGCTGGCCATTGGGGGCATTTACAAAACGCCTGGCAATTAACATTTATATCAATTTGTTTAATGACACAGCTTAAAGTTAACATTACATTGTTTTTCTCTCTCTTTAATTTAGTTTTATCTAACAACATTTGAGTATATATAATAGAAAGCAAAAAACCAAAAACGAAATATTAATTTTAAGCACTTAAAAAAACCGGGAAGCAAATACAAATACAGCAAAACAAATACAGCATACAAAAAAAAATCGATATCAAAATGTCGTAAATTTAGTAAAATAAATCAAAAATGTACTAACTTTTATTTCATAAGTTAACTAAGTTAAGCAAGAGGGTAGCGGGAAAAAACAAAGCATTAGACCTTAACTACGAATATGTATTTATAAAGAGAAAAATTAAGTTTATGACGAACCGCTGCGGTGATGTCAATAATGCGATAATTTCATTTCTTCTAAACAAGGGATTAATTATAATTTTTTATTAATATATCATATATTCATATGTATACATATATATATATGTATGTATATGGAAACTTATTGTAATTACTTAAAAGCATTCAGAATATACTAAATACAAAAATATAAAAAAATGCGTTTATATCCAAATAAACACGAATGTGTCATTGAATGTTTCAAATTCAACAAGTTGAATCGTGTTACATATTTCGTACATTCCAGTAGACTACCTAAATTTTTATTGCAGTTTTTAGGTCAAAAGTGTAAGGTGTTATATCCACTTGTAAGCCAGAAAAACGTGATTTTTTTGATTT